TTCAGCTTGGCCCAGGAAAAATCAGAGTTGCAGTTGTTTTGAAGCTGAGGAAGAAGAGCAGCGGGGGAAGAGCCAGGCCTTCCTGCCCCATTCTTTTCATGAAAAGCAGGAAGAATTTCAAAAGATATTTCAGTGCCATTTCTACTTTCATTTGTGCATGCAGAATGCAAGCCAGAACAGTCGAGGGGAACGTGACCAAAGCTTAGGGAGCATGAAGAGAAATAGTGCCCAGAAAAGGTGACAACGTGGTTTGGGTGCCTTGCTGAATGGAGTGGGGACATGTAGAGGACAGAGCGGCAGCGTGGGCAGCGCAGCCGGCTCGGCGGCCACGGCAGCACGTGCCACTTGTCCCACTGTCCCTGAGCAGAGGCGGGTTCAGGGGAAGGGAGTAACATATTGTAGCTGACGATGAGGGATTTACAATTGTAATAGTACAATTACAGTAGTAACGCTAAATATCAAGAGCATCTGAAATTCTTATGCAATTTAGTTTACAGTTGATTTTTAAAAATTGCCCAAAATTTTGTATGTTGCTAACTTGACTAGATAGTATTTTATTAGAGAGAAGCATGTTTATCAAAACCAAGGTGTGTATTTCAAAACCGAGACATAATGTCCAGTGTATGTTATATGTGGCATCGATAACATGATTCCTCTTTATCAGATGTGCAGCTTTTTGAAGTTCCAGGAGCTTTATAATTTCAAAAATTGGGTGATATTTTTTTCCCCCAAATATTTTCTTCTCCTTTTTTGAGTACTTGTCTGTTTTGGGCCACGTATCTGTTGTAGGGTATCTGAGTAATAAGAATTTAAAACCCCAAAAGTGACTTCGCTAGCACATGTAGAAAAAACAGGATCCTGTAAAGCTGAAGTGTAGTGTAATAAAACTAAGGAACAAATATCATCAGAATGGGTAAATTGTGGTTTAGGAATGTTGGCTGGAGAAATGAGTTGTACGCTGTTTGCAAGGATTATGTCCCTCATTGTATGCTCACCACCTTGCGTTCCGTTGAGGATCAAGTTTTATTCCACTTAAGAAGCTCTGTGCCCCCTTCTTCTTTTCCAAAGAAAAAGAACTACAGAAGGATATGAGCAAGCCTGTTCTCAAGTACTGCAAGGCAGATGCTGTTTTTACAGCTTAATTTTCTGCTTTGCGGTATTTCCTGTTAGCATCACCCCTTTTTCGGCAAGTGTTACTATTCTGCTTTTAGAGTATAACTGCTCTTCACAAAACCTTTGCGTCCTTGGAATGTGAGAGCATTTTAATTGGATTTTGATGGTGTTTCTTAGATTAAGGAGTAGGAGAGGGAGGAAGATTTCATTAAGATCGGTGAGATTGTGGAAAGGACAGATTGATTCTGATAAGCTGATTGGGTTAGTGACTATTTTGGAAAGGAGAGGTCGTGGACTCAAAGGGGAGTAGCATAGTGTGTAAGTAGTTGCGACAGAATTTCAAGTGGATTGAAAGATGAAAGGGAACGGGCAAGGTGAACAGAGTTCATTAGCCTGCCTGAGAGAGGAAGGCATAAACACAAGGGACAAAAATAAATCTCTGCAATTTATGGTGTCAGTGTGGTGTTAGTCTATTCAAAGGAAGCTGAAGGTGAAATAACCATCTTTTTCAGACTGCAGACTCAGAAAGGCAATATTCCTTTTTTTGGTTTGTTTGGTTTTGGGTTTTTTTTTTTTAATATTCACATGCAGGGGGCTCCATATTCCACAGAATCTACAAATAGGCATATTTGTAGGGTAAATACACACCAGAATAGATCAGGCAAGATGAGTCCAAAGACTGCTCCTTCAAAGGCTGCCCAAAAGTAGACAAGAGGGTGGTAAACACAAAATTGATCCCCTGAGAGAAAGACTGTAGAATACAGTATGAATTTCCTAAAAATTAAGAGTATCACAGTTTTTAAAGGGGGGGGGGGGGGGGGGGAAGGAAGCATCTAACCTTACATAGCCATCTGCATCTGCTACAAAGTTTAAATATTCTTTTTATTAGGGAAAAAATCAGGTTACTTCTTGTTGCTGAAATTCTAGTTACTGCTGGTTTTCCCTCATCTCTGCAGTAAGAATATAATTAAAGCCAAAGCTAATCTCCTGCCTTTGGCGAGATATTGGGAAAACTGCTTTGTCATGGTAAAAGCTGTATTTTGATTGAAAATCAGCCATTTGAAGGTCAGCTTCTCAGGTAGCACTTCACATACTGTTGTCACGGAAAGGAGATTTACAATAGAAAGTAAATTACAGTAATTGAGATTACAGTAATACAGAGCTCTGTGTTTAACCAGTGATTGACAACACTTGAATTTGCAAACAGTACTCATTGAACTGTGGTTTTAACTATGTTCAAATTTGTTCTGTCTGTTTTGCGGACCAAATTATTTACTCTTCACCTTTCAGTTAGACCTTTCAGGCTTTAGGTGATAATTTCTTCTTGTTTCTTTAATAACTGTGTGAAAAATAAACATTGTTTTGCTTTATACAGTTAAGTCAGGTTGCTTTCTACTTCAAAATGGGAGCCAGCTTTTTTTCCTTAAAATGCTCAGGATTTTTGTCTCATGTGGTATTACCTGCGTAGATCTGGGTACGTGCCATACTTGAATCTGAACTGTCTGTTTATTTGCAGGAGAGGTCTGATCAGTGTTGCTGAAGTGATTGTTTTCCCCTGTTCTGAATGGGATCTTGGCACCCGATATTTTGTTTTCACTATGAGAAGTGAATCAGGTTGTTCAAATTGGTTGCAGCAGAAAATGCAAATTATGGTAAGTGGTAGCAAAGCTTTTGGAGACTTGTAGAATACACATTTATTTCAATTGTTTAATTGTAGGCCTTAGCTAATAGATAACAAATAACACTTTCATTCACACCAATCGTGATATTTTTATTAGTTTGAAAGTACATACTCAATGCATCTGGCCAGCTATTTATATTTATATAGTAAAAAGGAATAGAATGTAAGTATGTATGTATGCTTCAAAAAAGAACTTAATTTCTCTATTTTTAAGTATCTCCACCCTTGAAACTTACTCAGCTAATGGGAACTTAGTGCTGTGCAGATGCTCTAGTAGGTTTTGCGATATATTCTTTGGTTGTTAGGCCTAATCAATGAATAGTGGCGTTTCTTGCTGGTTTTTTAGAGGAGGAGGAGGAACAGTATGTCGTTCATTATGTGATACACTCTGTAAACAGTATATGTGGAAGGTACCTTAATCTGAATTTAGCTACCTTATGAATTTAAATTAGAATGATGTTATTTGCTGTTCATGCTGACTCTGTACCAATACTTGCATTTTTTTTTCTTTTTTTGCAGATTCTTTTTTCTTGTTGGATATTTTCAATTCTGTTGAATGTGTAATTACAACTATGGCAACAAGAGTAGAAATAAATTCTACTTTGGCGTCTTTGACGACAGTACCTGACTTAAATGAAATTAGAAATGAGGATAAATCACAGCGTGTGTATGTAAGTGTGCTTTCAGATGCAAGTAACAAGACAAAGGAGGCTTCAGCATCACTAACCCTTGAAGAGAACAACAAGTTTGGGAGTACTTTGAGATCTGCAACAATGCCATCGCTAGGCTCAAGGCCAAGACTTTTCCCAAAGCCTTTTTCTAAAGAGAAATCTTCAGATACTTTTGCAAATGTAAAACCACCTATTCCAGCTTTCAGATCAAGTAGTGTTATTAGAAAGGCCACTGAAGAAACATCATCTGTTAAGGTATTAAGTGGAAATGTTCCTCCGTTAGTTGATCAGAAAGTAATTGAAAATGAAAATAAGGCTGGCAGTGAAGTAGTCACAAACATGACTTTCTACACTGGTCCCAGTGCGAATACTGTCATTCTTTTTGAGACAGCAGGCACCAACCAATCAAAGGTAAGCCTGGCCCAAGAAAAAAGGGCTGCTGATGACTGCAGAGTATTTAGTACTATGCAAACAAAAGAGCTTCAGTGCAATACAAAGCTGGAGAAACTATCTCAGCCATCTGAAATATCCAGGAGTCCTGAAGGGTCTCTTCATAGGCAGATATCACTTTCCTCCAGTCTTAGACCAGTCTCTTGGAACTCCCTCAAAACTGGTGGAAAAAAAGATGCTTATGAAGTTAATCCAGGGGAGAAAAACAATGATGATGCAAATAATATCAACAGTAAAGTTGATTTCTCTATTGATGTGCAGCAAAGGCCAAAACATAGACCAGTATCTGCTATTTTTCTGGAATCATTAAGAGATCAAAAGCATCGTACTGTGGAAGCTTCGGAGGACAAATCTCCTACAGAGAAGTCCTGGGTTAGAAAACCAAGGCCTTTGTCCATGGACCTGACAGCTAAGTTTGAACAGAAAGATCTTTCTTCTTGCAAGAAGACTTGTTCATCTCACGAAAGCAAGGAAAATGTATCGGTAATGTCTTTTACTGACATGGGTTGTCACAATCAGTCCGAAATGGGGCCAAAAACTGAAGAAACTGAATTTAATAAAGGCAGTTCTAAACCAAATTTGAAGTGCTGTAGTCAGGACATTGGCATCCTAAATAACGGAAAACACATACGGGAAACAAAGCTTATATCTAAAAGTGAACAAATTGAGACAAAACCAGAAATAATGACTAACTTGCACAGTTCTGAAAGAAGCCATGAAACCACTAGTGAAAGCAGAACTAATAAGGGGAGGAAAAGACCGGATCAAAAGGAAACGCATATGTTTCTAGGCTGTGAAAGCCCTGCAGCTTCGTCAGAAAAAGAGAGTAATATCAGAAGAGGTAGTGTTAAAAAACACATTAGTTTGTTTACTTCAGAAAATCCCGGTACCTCAATGGATACAGAGCTTCTCCAGTCAGCTGCTGAGAGGGAAAACAGATGTGTGAACATCCAACAGAGAATCAAAGAACTGACAACAGAAAATACTGATGTTAAGCCAGGAACTCCTCACAGGTCACTTCAGTCACGACCACTTTCTGCGGACTTAACAAAGATGTAGGTTGCAGAGAAATTTTATTTAATCTTCTTAACTTCACCTCATTCAGTAAAACTTGCTCTCTCAGTACAGTAAAATAACTGACCATTTTGATCAGATAATTAATTAGATAATTCCACTAAATGGAATTATTCTTTATATTATTATTCTTGAGCCCCTTTCCCACCTTTTCCTACCCCCCCCCAAAAATAGAAAATTTAATGAAATATACCCTGACAACAGCTGCAAAAAAAAAAAAAAAGATGCTGTCAATATTGTGGCCTTTGCATGTTACTGTAACTCTATATCTATTATTAAAATTTCATGCATTTTGAAATCTTGAGATGAGCGTTGTAGACTGCAAGCTTATATATTTGTGAGAAAGCAAAAGAATGGTTACCATGTCTTTGACAGTGGTATAAAGTATCAGGTGTTCAGCCAGACAGGAATCTTATTTCGCTGTCATATTGAAGCCTAAAGATCTATGATGTCTATTCTGCCTAAGCTGTTGCAATGAACAGTGTTGTTAGAGTCATATGAGATCTGCCGATTTTTACATACCAAAACAAGAAAGAATCTTGTCCAGTAAAAAGAGATTTAGTCCAACATAAAATATATTCTCTCAGTACAAAGTTGGGTAAATGATTATTCAAAATCATAAAAATTTGTTTGTGACATGAATGAGATAGTACTTTTGTGCACTTTGCAATATAATCTGACGCCACAGTGCGGGGGCCTGGTGCTAGTTTGGATGGTTCATGTTCTGTATGTGATGACAAAGGGATAAAGAAAGAAGGATAATGTTTTTTGGTAGTGTAAAGGAAGTGTGCTTCGTAGATGTTTGGCTGACAAGACCTGCTTTATGAACAGTGGAATAATAGAATTTTTCAGGAAACCTTGGTCTTTTAATATTGTGATCAAAATAAAAGAAATTTAACTGAGGCATGAGCGTATTAGTATCTCTTTCACTATGCCTCACTGTGTATCTCTAAATCTTATGCTATACAACAAGCTGCATAACTAACCATTTTTTGGGAAACAACAATCCTTTGGTCTAGATGCAATGAAACCACCAAATACAGTTACTTACTATGAAATAGTAATGTTTCTCCTTTAAGAAATACAATTTATTGGATAATTTCTACCAGTCTGCTTTGGTAGGAAGTATACCTGCTAACTAACTAACTGGACTAAAAGAAGTAACAGAAGTCTTTTATCTTAGGTTTTCAAGTCCAACATCAAGCAGTGAACCAAAGCCTGAGAAACCTGCTGAAACCAGAAACGACTCTATCGATGAAATGCAAGAAAATCAAAAAGTAAGAAAATGGCATCAGCTGATGTGGTCTCCAGCTAGGTTTGCATTTAGAAGGCAGAGAGCACTGCCCTGTGTCCTGTGTGTCTTTATCAATCAATGACTTCAAAATGGGTGTTGAGACTATTAAGAATGACATACTCCTAATGGGTTTACTTGTCTAAGTCTATCTTTAGGACACACCGATGAAGTGTGAGGGTATCATGTCTGTTGAGTTTTTAAAAGCTAAATATGCATGCAGTGGTATAGAGTGAAAAGTATTTTATGTACTATTTTAAAGGGACTTTTAACGCATGAAAACCCATAGTGAATTAACTATGGCTGTTGTGGTTTTGTGCAGTGATTATCCTTTATTTTCTCTAAGCATAGCATTAGTGTAGTGCATTTCTACACCTAAGTCATAACTCATTACATACACGCTGTATGTTTCATGACAATCTCCTAAATATCCTTTAACTTAGAAGTTTGACGATGAAGTATACAGAAAGTTCCGATATGCTGTAAAAGTTGTTAGGCTGTCTTTGTTTCTAAGCAACACTTTGGTGTTGCAAAACACAACTTCTCTGCTGACACTTCTTAGTATTGGAGATTTAATGTAGCTTTAAGGGTATTTCTTGTGAGTTCTCATGGCTGTGCCTTTTTCCTGTCTAGGTTTAAGATAGGAATATATGGTAGGGAAACTAGCAGCTAGGTACAACGTTTCTGTAGTTTAATATAATTTTAAAGAAGAACAATCTGTTTTAAAAAGAAAATCTTTCTTTAATGGAAATGCTGTTTTCACAATCTGACAATAAAGTAAGATTAAAAAAATTCCTTTGAATTCCTAGAAGAATATAGATCAGATTTAAAAATTTTAATTTTAAAATGTCTTTAGTGTTAATTTTCTGACATTCTTCAGCTTTTTTTTTTTAAACAGATTCTTAAGTCAATTCCAAGTTTTAAATTTTAAAACTTGAAAAAAAGATTGAACTCTTGTAGGACCAGGGAGTATTCTTTGACTCTGTTTATTATTTGCATGGTGTGCTTTTTCAGCGAATGTTATTAAAAATAACAGCTTTCAGGATGTTAGTTGTATTTCTTGCAAGTAGCTAATATTAAAGAACTGGCAATAAATATTAATACCCACTTTCTCTTTTTACTTCAGCTCAGCCTTAACATTCTTCTTAGCTGAGCAGCTCCAGCTGTGATATTTACTCAGATCTTTATGTTCCTTGCAGTTACTGACCACGTAACTATTTAGTTAGTGAATGGCTATATTTGAAAAGACAGTTTTGACAAAATACAGTATATTTGGTGTCTCCCAAGGAGTTTAGACTTCTTCTGAAGGTGCCTACCTCCCTGTGGTGCTGTTCTATGCTTTGCTTTTGAACTTGAATTTCTGTAGGGCTTGCAACATAAATGTTCATAAGCATTTCTGTGGTAGCTGGGGTTATGAACCTTCTAAAGTTTTGTACTATTTTTGCATGTGTTGCCTTCTCTGGAGTATGCTGTGGGTATAAATTCACTGCAGATTAAAATCTCTTGTGAAATCTGAGCTCAGGAACTCACAAGAGTCATGCATATCTCAAGTATGAACACTTCATAAATTTCTCCTTTTTTGTATTAAAAGTAAAAATCGAGCTATGAGATAATTGTTATAATTATGATTCAGGAGCTGGAGGTACATATTTACTTATATTACCTTTGTCTCAGTGGATCTTGTGTTCAGAGGACATGGTTGTATTTAACTTGTGCAGGCTGTGTTGCACAGAACAGGTGCAAGTAAGTTTTAAAATAAACTTTATTACACATCTTTTAAATAAACTATCTCAACTGTTGGATTTTTTTGTTCCAGAGTAAGGAGATCAAGCTTGCACATGGCACAGATTTCACTGAAGCACATGCTACTGGGAACCCTTGGAAACCCCGGCAGATTTTAAAAATAACAAATAAACCTGATCAGATAGAGAGGAAAGGAAGCTTCCTTGGAGATGGTCAGCATTTTTCTCAGCAAAGTGAAAATTCTGTCTCCTTCACAAGCAACTTGGAAAAAAAATTAAAACCAACCACACTTATGGAAAAGACCTACATTAAAACTGTCCGAGCCACCATGTTTGACCATAATGTTCAGAGGCATAACGTTGCTGCTGATCATCCTGGAACAGATTCTGCACTGAAAATGAATAATGAGCTTGAGGCAAAGCATGATGTGGTGACTTTGGGGCACAACAGACGATCATGGATGGGAGAAGCGGAGGAAACCACTAGTATAAAGCAGGAATATCACAAGAAATCTGATTCATCAAAACATATAGCAGATGTAGAAAAAAGTGGAAAACCAGCTTGTTCAAGTGAAGACAAGAAAATGACTCCAGGAATTCTCTTAGAAAAATCTTTTGTTGAGAAAAGTGAAAAACCCACTCCTAAAAATGCAGAAGACTCTCTAATTTACCAAAGAATAGAGCCGAGATATGAAATCTTTCAGACCTGTGGTGAAAGAGCTCTTAGTGAAGCCATTACAATGGCTCCTGAAAAAAAGGCCATGACACTCAGAACTAGAAAATCATCTGTGAGAGAGAATAAGAATGATGAGGATGTTTTACACACTGGTCAGTCGGCTAGGGCAAACAGCAAAACTGCCTACTTGAAAGAAGATAACATTATTTCAGAAGCTAGAGATGCAAAGGTTTTTACAAGCAAGTCTCCATTGAGAGAACCTAATGATATTTTCTCTAGTGAATGCACTTTACCTGAACAGAAAAAAGACTCTGATAAAACTGAAACTGATCCGATACTAATAGCTGAGAAAATTTCTTACTCTACAAACAAAAGTAAATGTTTGGGAATGAATGAAAAAGTAAACAAACTACATTCTGAAATTAAAAATGATGAGAGTGAAGTCTCTTCCATGGATAAAATGGAGAGGTCTAATACGATGAAATGCTCTTCTGAGAAAAGGAGTTTTAGACCAGGTGGGACAGACAGCTATGAATTCAGAACCAACTTTGATCATGAAGTTATTTTAACAAGTGTAAATAAACATGGGGCCCAGTCATCTTCAGTGCTTTCAGGTGGACAATTTTGTAAATCTTCTATTAGCTGCCATCCTGATACAAGAGTGCTAACCACTAATAATGAGGAATCTAGGGCCTTTGGTTTAAGGAAAAGTCTAGACTTAAATTGTAAAGAGCAAGACTTCAGCTTAGGTAGTACAGCTCATGAAAACAGTGAAAAAATCAGAGTAATAGATCCAGAAGAAAAAGTCAGGAGAACCAGAAGTAGCGTTTCTGACTTGAAGATTTCTGAAAGGTGGAGAAGGAAGACCTTGCCTCAGGATTCTGTCAAGACAGAAGAAGTCGTCTGGCTCACTCCTGAAAATATCAAAAGGCCGAGTTGGACAGAGTCATTGCAATTAGATGAAGGTTCAGTTAAAAAGAGAAGCAGAAAAAGCAAAGAAGGGGTGGAAGGAAAAGTGGCAAACCAAACTGTTCTTGGCAGTCCTGATGATTACTTGAAAAATCAGAGTTCTGCCTTTGAGCCAAAGGCAACTTACTTTGCAGTGACTTGCCAGATTCCTGGTAACAAAAAAGAGAAAAGCTTTGTTGGTACTCCTAGTGCAAGTGAAGGTAATACAATTTCTAGCTCAAGTGAGGGAGCAAAAATTAATTTGGACCCTGTTTTTCCTGGAAGGTCCAAACCTTTATTGCAGCAACCAAATAAAAATTTGACGAGTACAAATTGCAGAGAAGACTCACGGCAAGTGCATATTAACAAGAGTTGGGTCAAAGAAGATGACAAAGATGAAATTTTTTCCAAAAACATTGCATTTGGTAATTTTAATGTATCAAGGAAAGATAACCAACAGTATCATGAAAGAGGTCTGGATCATTCTAAGGAGAAAATTATAAATGTTGATGCTTTCCTGTTAAAACCGGATCTGGAACATACAGCTCCAACTGATCTCAGAAGTAGCAGGAAGGTCTCGTCTTACCATGAACCCAGATCCCCTCTGCATTTTGCACAGTTACATAAAGACAGTGAGCTAGTCCCCCTGAAAAGGAGTGAAAATAATTATGATTTATCTGGAAGGAAGGCTGAGGATGGTTACAGATCCCAAATTCTTGATATTGATGCACTTATGGCAGAATATAAAGAAGAATCAGTGAAGGCCAGTAATGTTCAAGACAAGCTCTCTGAAGATCACAGCTCATTTAGCAGGGAGAAATCAAAGAACAAAAGAAATGTGTCAGATAAGATGACTTCTTCCTATAGCTGGAAAGAGTGGAAGGGATCAGATCACTATTCTGTTAATAACAAGCAAGGTGACTGTGCAGAAGAGTACCGCAGGCCAGAGAAATTAATTCTAAATGAAAAGAACAAAGAGAAACTGGAATCATGTAGCCCTGAATTCGATAAACAAAAGTCCAAAGACAGAAAATTCAGCCCTCCTTACTGGGGAGATCCTAGCAGCTTTTTTTCAGATAAATTTGTAAATTCACCTGTGGAGTTCACTAGGAAGAAAACTTTCATCGTTGATGAGGAGGAAGAGGTGAACTTAACTTCCAGGAATCAAAGTTCAAAATTTGTAATTGATAAGGTACAGCCTATAAGTGCAGTTGGTACAGACCAAAGGTTGGAAGTTAATTTTGCTTCCAAGTTGTCCATAAAGGCAGATGATGGCCTCTTACAGAAGAACTTGGTCACAACAGAACAGTTCTTGGAGGTGTCTCCAGAAAGTGATTGGAGCAAAAATATAGCAAGGAGCTCTATAACGAGGAACAAAGGCAATGCAAGTAAGACGATGTATGAGAAAGACTCTTCCAATGTGAAAAGTAAAACTGATTGGAAGAATAATACGTCTGGTTTAGGAAGTGCACCCCCAGATTTAAGACGATCTTATTCAGAAAAGACCCACCAAGGAAAAGACAATCTACCGCTTATGCAAGAAGTAAGGGGAAGAAAGGATCTATACCCATCCAGGCAAAGCTTCCCGTTGGAAAGTGTGGATAATAGGTGGAAACACAAGGTGTCATCTCAGCCAGAATCATTCTTCCAAGAGGATAAAAAGGTATTACCAAATGGTATCTAAGTGTTTCCTGTAACTAAAATTGAAAGTGAGGAGGAGCTTTTATTATGTCTCTATACTGCTTTTCAGTGTTAGCTGTGACTTTGCAGCAAGTGAGCAGATACATACTTTTCAACAGAGTTCATTTGCTTTTGGGTTGTATTTTCTTGAGGAATTTGTATTGTACTAGATGACTAGATTTTTGTTTCAAATGTATAAATATTTATTGATGTTTCCATGGAGAGCTTGAAAAAGCTTTAAAACGTGTGTGTATTATTTTATTAATGCTATTAGCCTAGGATGTTAAATTGTTAAGTCTGCAATTTTATAATTATTTGAAAAGAAGTAGTTTGGGTTTATTTTATAAGTTGTCAACAGTGATCTTTTTGGAGTTCTTTTTTGTTTAGGTTGTTTTTTGGGTGGTTTTTTCCCCTGAAGGAAGCAAATTTTTTTTTTTTTAATTGGTTGAATGGCCCTCATTTGTATGTGAAACTTCACTGCTGATATTCACTTTGGTGAAATGCAGGTAGTTTTCCTTAACGCAGTGACACGTTAATGCATTAATGCGTAGCCAGTTAGACATTGATGGCTATAATGTTTTTCCATTTTGTGTTTTCAGCTTTGAGCTTCCTCTGTGTGGGGTTTTTTTTTTGTTTGGTTGGTTGGGTTTTTTTTCCCAAAAGGGCATTTTATATACATATGTATGTGTATGCATGTATATGTAACAACATACATAACTTTATTTTAACAGTGAAAGAGTGGACCAAGCAGAGTTCAGACAAAACAGACGGAACAGACTTTTCATTGGTTTCTACTCGGAGAAGCCGCCACAGTTTTTATAAGGACAGAAGGGCAGATAATGGGACGGTATGTTATTTTGGAGGAAGTTCTTGGGCAGGGGCTAGGGGAGAGAGAAGGGAGATGCAGCCTGGCTTACTCCGTTCAGCCCTGTTTTCCTTTTTGCAAATAGCTGTGAAAGAAAGTATGTGTCTTCCTAGGAGAAGGAGCAGATGCGCTTTTTGTGGAGTTTAACGGGCAGAGGATGCTTCTCCCTGGGATTCCATCTGTGCAAAATCTTCAAACACAAAGCATTAACCATGCAGCTTGTTCGTTTTTCTTTCTAAGCGAAAAATTTTCATCCTGAACTCTTAAGAGGGGTCTAGATCATTATGCTTTTTGTTTGCTTCTCAGCTTAGATAATGAAAATTGGTTAGATTCCAGAAAAATCTTTTCTGGAAAATTGTGCAGACAAAGAGCACCATGTCATAGCCTGAAAAATGATGGGTTTAATTTTCTTTCTGTAGGCAACACAGAGAACTATTTATGTGAAGAATCACGGCTGGCATTTTTGGTAGTCTGATTTGTCTCCAATATGCATACTTTTTGGGTAAAGTCCCACTTAAAGTTGTTGGGTGATACTCTCCTAAGTTGCAGAAAGATGTCCTGACTTTAACCCACAGATTAATTTTATGTTGGGAAATAGCATCCTATGTCCAGATGTTGTTCTGAAATACAAAGCAATGATCTGGATCTTCCAAATTTATATAATAAATGAAGTATCAAAATTTTCTTGGAAAATAAAGGATTAGAAAACTACATCAGCAGCACAGAACTCTACAATTTTAAGAGAGATGTTGCTGCTGCCACTGAAATCCTTCTTTACTGGAAGAATTGTTTTGAATGACTGCAAGTGCTGTGGTGTTTTGTGTTTTGTTTTGGTGTGGGGTTTTTTTTTTTAACCCTGTGCATGGAAACTGATTTGATGCACTACAATAACAGTCACTTCAGAGTGCACTCTTTTGCAACTCTACACACACATATTTGCAGTTTTTGAAAATCTGGATGTCCCACATCTTTTCAAAACTTCCACTTGTGTGGAAAGGGGTGACTGAAAGATGTTACCATGCTGACTGTACCAAGGCCAAATCTCATCTGTCCTTAGTCTGCTAGCACACTCGTGTGGTGACTGAATGTATTGCCCTCTGCAGAGATTTTTTTTTTTTAAATTACTCCTACTGCTATTTACAGCCCTTTAATAGAGAATAGACAAAAAGATAAAAGGAAAAGAACTGAGTGACTTTTTTTCCTCTTCTATTGAAGAAAAAGAAAACCCCCAAACCTATAAGGATTTTGTAAACAAGTTCCCTAATAGGAGTTTTGGAAACAGGCTCATATTGTTTCCAATTCTAGTCTTAAAAATTCATGGAAGGTGTCCAAGGGCTGGTATCCCCTTGTCTTTCCCATTCTTAGCATGGACTTAAGGTTGAATGTTCATCTTGGGGGGAGTTTGGGTTATTTACTGAATTGGCAATTATCATTCAATCCCTAGAAGTTGCTATATGCCATCAGCTTACAGTGCAAATATGTAAAGATGTTGTTGACAAGGTAGAATATGTGGGAGAAAAGTGCGGTCAGAAATACTGCCGGGATAATTGAACTATTCAGGTAGTGTACTCAGATGAATACGACTGTTATTCTCCAACTTGAAGTGTGAGGTTACGCAGAATAAACCTTTGACTTCATCAAGTGTAGCCTGAGACAGGAAAGGAAGGCTGTCAGCCCCACTAAAAGAGAAAACTCACATGTCCAGGATCCACTGGAATTCAGTAGGATCCGAGTGCTTTACTCCTTTGTATTGCTTTGAAAAGCCTAATCGTGGTGTATTTGTTGTCCTGCAGTGCCATGGTAGCAAGAACAGCAGTCTGGCCTTTGTGAATATAAATTGTGAGTGAGCAGGTGCAGAGAAGCGATTTTTACATGCGTTCGGGAGGTGGAAAACTCGTCATACTTTCATGTTTTCCAAAGCCCCACATAGGTATCACAGGAGATTATGAAAAACTGAACCATTTCTTCTGGTGCCAAGGTTAATATCTTTGTTTTCATTTGGAGAAAATACAAAGACTTTTGCTGTCCGGTTGCCGTTCTCATCAGTACGTTTCAATGCTTCCCTCTGGTGGAGAGATGCGTTGTAGTTGTGTTTGAGTTCAAGGGATGCGAGAGGTCGAGATAGATCCACAGGAAAATCACAGTTAAGTAACATATTTCCTCTGAATTTGAATGCAATCTGTGTTTCGCTTAGTGCACCTTTGAAAGAGGATTAGAAGGAAACAAAACTGCTGCTGTTTTGTTTGAACAGTTTCTAGTCTATCTGTTTAGTTGTGAAGTTATTTGCTTTTTCTTGTGGCATAGTGATAAAAAAATATGCTACAGTACATATCACTGGTCACTAAAAGATACCATTTTCTTTCTAATGAGACTGTAATGCTCAAAGTGACAAGTTGTTACTTTTATTGTAGAATAAAAGATTCACTTTCATTCACATATACTACTAAAGTAGTGTAATGAACTGTCCTGTATTCTTTGATATTTGGCAAACCAACTTAAATTAATATGCATTTGTTGCATTATTTCCCATCTGGCTATGACAATGAACAACTACTTGAATGAAATTTTCCAGGACAGCTAATGAACTAGATTCTTATGGATGAACACAATTCTAAATTGGAAGCAAGGTGCAATAGCATAATTCTACTTCTGGAGAAGTAATTTCTTTGTGATTATATTTTAGGGAAACTACTTCCAATTAGGTTATTTTTTGAAGTTATGTAGGACTTCTTTGAAATCAAACCATTACAATATACAATTGACAATATGGGATTGTTGGTTGAAATTGCAAAGGATAATACTCTTGAGATTTAACACTCATCTAGATTGCTTGGTTTTTTTGCTATTTTGAGTTTGTATTCCTCAAAAACAGAGTAAGGCTTTTATAAAGATTCCAGCATCATTGCTAGAGTGTCGTCATCTGTGTTTTTAATATGGGTGGTACTTTTCTCCGTATGTCTTTTACAAAGAAAATCTGCAGTGCTCTTAAGTATTACAAGGCTGGTAAAGCATCATGGCATTCAAAGAGGGGATGTTCCTGGTGGAAGGGTGTTCTGTACTTATAGCAGTAGCTTCCAGACTTCACCACCTTTGAAGACTGTGCTGAATTAATGACTGTGGATGTATTGGACTGTGGTGAATTAATGACTCTGAATGTATCATACTATCAGTGGTTTATATGCTGAAGTTTGAGGAGGAATTGGGCCACAGCATCTATATGTACTTAAAAAAAAATCACGTTCTATGACCTGAAAAGATGGTTTCTTTCCCAATGAATAATAGAAATATCACAGTTTGGATTTGCCCACATATTTATTTGGGCTGTTCCAGAATAGAGGATAAGGAAGTCTGTGTTTTAATGTGATGGTCTTTGAGACTGTGGAGGTGTTGTGGTTTAAAACCTTCAAACTGAGATGATCTTTGAAGACTGACAGATTTCTTAGAGTGTTTTTCTCTGTGGTCAGTAACATTACATATCTCATGTACAGGAGAACATGTTAGGATCTGCAAAACTATTCCTCCTACTGTGTAGTTGGATGTTTTAGTGTTCTCTTGGCTGCTTTTTGCTGAGATGTTCAGAAAGTGACTTGTGCAGCCAGGAGTCAGCTGGGTAGCCATGTCCTTGGGGTTAGGACTGGGGATGGGCTTCTGCTTTCTGGGATGTGTGAGTGACAAAGATACAGGTGAACAGCAAGGCAAATCCTTCTAACTTATGATTTCTGTGTGAATATTCTGGCCTTTCTTTCTGTTTCTTGGAGGTTAGAATAAATTTATGTTTGTAAGCTTTGTCGTTAGTAATTTTTGAGCAGGTGACTGGCTGTGTTACAAGTATTACTGCTAATTGTAGCTTAGTGCTTAAACGTTCTATTCTAACATAAGAGTTTTTTTTTCTTTCCATTTTCACTCTTTGATATAGCCTGATTCTAGTAAAGAAGGAAATAATTTCATGTTTAAAGGCATTCACCTAACAGAGAATTAAGGAAAAGAATAGACTTTATGTGAATAAATAATTTCCTGTTTGCTTCGCTAGAGCTAACAGTATCGAGAAGACAAGACTTTTCCCTGCCCATTTAAAACTATTTATTCCTTCGTGAAGAAGTCAAATACTCTGTACATTGTACTTTAGCCCTGCCTGCATCACAGTATAGGTATAAAAATAAAGTTGTTCTTATGTTCGCTCTGGACAACGGGGATTTCAGCTCACAGAATTAGCTGCAAATCTCTCAGACTCTCTAGCAGACGGAGAGCTCATCTGCATGGCTTAATACCGTAGGCTATTGTAGGGTCTTTTTGTTTAGACTTTGAATGCAGTTTGAGGGACTGCGAGCCTCTGTTGTAACTATCTGTAAAATACAAATGTTTTCTGGTTTTGTAGCCTGTTGTAAGACTTAGGGTTATTATGCACTTTGTGCTCCCTTAGAAGGCACTGTAACTGCAACGTGCTGTGGTAAACCACTTGAATTTCAGAAGATGTTCTCAAGTATTGTCTTTCATAAATCGTAATGATTCCATCACAGCTGACACAGTAATTCTCTGATGTTCAGTCACAAACCTCAATTCCTGATTAAGTCATCAAGACTGATAGGAGTCTTATGAATTAAAAACTGAGGAATGTGCGATGCAGCTCATCCCCCAAATAGAACTAACTGCGCTTGCTCTATTGGGCCGAAGGGATTGCAACTTCATCTGGAAACAGCAGCTTTAATGCAACTATGGTTTATAACCAAAATTGCTGCTTTGTGTAGTTAAAACGGCGCATTCTGGTACTAGAACTGGTGTAGGCCTGAATTATTTTGAAGCCTCTGGCTATATATTTTATTTATTTTTTTTATATTAAACTTTGGTTTTTTGTTCTTTGGTGAGGAAAATCTGGTATCCATAATGGTATCCATATAAAGATGCACTTATTTGAGACTGCGATGTGTGGGTGGAGAAGGATGTGTTTAAGAAAATCATGAGCTGACTCTTAAAAATATTTTGGA